TTTTTTTTTTTTTTTTTTTTTTCTTTAAACGTCTTGAAATTAGCAACAACATATAAAATAATTTATGTAAAAAACAATATAAATATTGGTTACTTATGGTACATATAGGGAAGTCTTATCATAAATTCAACAAGAAGCAATAATATCAATACAAATATATATATATATATATGTCTATACAAAATTATTTTAATGAGTGTAATATAAAATTCAAAACTTGAATAGGGAATTTTTATATAAAATATTATATTATTTGAACTATAATTTTTTAATTAATATAATTTAAAAAATTGACTAATTGATTTAATTATAATGATATGATTTATGAGAGCTGGAGCAGCGTGTGGGACCAGAGCCTCTAATCACCGGTTTAGTTAACTAATACCAACAAAATAGATAATTTATTTTATGGGTTAAATAAATCCACTTTACTTGTGAGACTAATCATACTAATAATTGGGTTTAGCTTTGCCTTGTAGAATTACCAAAACTCATCTTAATCATATTGATTAGAGATTTGAACTTAATTAACATTCAATTAGAATTGGTGAAAGTTGGCAAGACCCCATGAAATTATATATATATATACAAGAAAAGGATTTCCAACTATGTTTATAATTTAATTTAATATGTAAATAAAAACACAATTAAACCCAGCCCAAAATAGAAGGTCTCAGCCCAGCCCATTAAACCTTTTATCGAATGGGCCCCAACGAGAAGCTCAGCCCATCAAGTTGTCTCAGTCTCTGTCCTTCTCCGGACGGCGTCGTTTTGAAGTTTCTTGTTTCGCCTTCCTGGTTTCTTCAAGCTCCTCGATGGAAGACGGGGAAAGACGGCCTAGGGTTTCTTCTCTGAGGACAGAGGGCAGGTACACATGAAACGAGGTCGAGGCTTCGCGAAAGAATAGGGGTATTCAAATCAGAGGCAATCCGAGGGTATAAAGAAGGAAGAGAACACGGGCTTGAAGGGGTGTTTATCAGAAAAGAAGAAGAGGGATAGAAAGGAAAAAGAACGAGAGAGAGAGAGAGAGAACTAGAGAACTAGAGGAGTCGAGCAGTGAAAAAGAAAGAGAGCAGTTCATCAGTAGCTGAAGGAAAACAGAGAGGGACGAGGAGGGCGTTAAGAAAAGGAAAAGGGAAGAGCTCGAAATTGAAAGAAAACAAGGTGATAGAATAGTGGCTGAAGCGAAGAGATAGCAGAAGAGGAGTCAACCACCGAAGGAGGAAGTTGGTACTGGTGTTCACATACTGTTACTGGCTTCTGTCTTGTCTAGAGGTAATTTTCTGTGGACTTAAATTTTTTAAAACGTATCTAATATAGTCAGCTTTTCCCTTATTGAATGATTTGTATTAAATTTCCAGCATTGTTTCATTTCTTTATCCATTTCTGATATAGATTATGCTTCATTATGTTTGGAGGTTTAATATGATTAAAAATAGCCCTTTTAGTTATTGTTCAGTAACTTCCTATACCATTGAAGTCTGGGCTTTTGATAATTTCCAATTGTGCGCCTAATGTCTTACGAGATCAAACACTCTTTCATGTAGACATAGTATGTATTAGTCTCTCTGAATTAAATAGTATTCATGTCATGTTGGTCTCTTGACCTGAGATGTTTAGAAACTATATTTAAAGTTAAGGCATCTCATAACAATCACTATCCAAATAGTATTGTATATTTAATAATATTTATCATTTATGAATTTGAACAGTTATTTTTTAAACAAGTGATTTTTTCTTTTATACTTGAATAACAATTGTATTCATAATATTTAAAATAAACTGTGATGGTAATATTCTTAATTTTATTGTATGATTGGCTTCTAGGCATGCTATTTACTAGCACATTTTAATTTAGTTCCTATGTATATGTAAATAGTGTAAAGACGCAAAGAGTATGGAAGGGGACTTAAAGAGATATTGATCCGATTGAGTCCAGTTCAGTCTGAATCTATCTTGAAATACCAAAAGCAAAAAGGGCAAAGCAAAACTTAAGCGGCATCGTTCTTACACTCACCGGAAAATTCTCTGGCTGTAATTGGTATTATGGTGGAAGGAGAAGACTATTGTGGCCTTTCTTGATCACAAAGCACAACATCCTCTTCTCCAGCCTTGAAATTGGAAAACTTTTGCACCTCTATGATGAAAACAAAACCCTGACTCCACAACATGTCTTTCATTGACGAATTCGAAGCCAGTAAGCCCCTTCATTTTATCTAACATAGTCTCTTTATTATTGCTTCTGTCATCATCTTTCAATATTGTATGGCTTGCATAGAGATAAAGTGCAGTTCCAGGAACCCTAACTTTTTAATTGACATAGAAAATTAATTCAACAGTTCTTACACTTCATTTCACTTTTTGGGCTCTGCTTGCATTTCTGCATTTGCTTAGGGACTGTTCCGTAAAAAGAAACTAATTTGTTTAAAATAACTTAGCTTTTTTAAGTGAAATGTATAAGATCTTGTCTTGTATTGGCTTCATGAGTTTTAGCTTCCCATACTATTCTATTGAAGAAAAAATTATTGGTATTAGATGTAAGGAATTTTGGGTAAAGAGCTTTAGAAACACTTGAATCTGCAGAAATTATATGAGGTCTATGTTTTTGTCCTTCATTTTTTGAGTTCATAAGTTGATCTGTTAAATTAACAATGGGACAAATCTTCCTGTCAATTCAGGTGTCTTAAACATTTCTCTTTTAAAATTTGGGAGGGGAGAAAAGAGGGAGATGTCAGCATCATGTTTGGAAGTTTAGAGAATGCAGCTTGATCTTGGTTTGGATAGAGCTCACAAGACAATCTCTAAGCTTCTTACTCTTAAAATCCTACAAGTAAAGAATTACTAAATTGCAACTATCATAGAATGGTTAGCTCAATATAAATATCAAGACAATGAAAATCATATCCATAATCGAGAGAAATATCATGATGTTGGTTTTAACAGTATGCCACTTCCTTCCTTTCCTATGAGTAATTAATAGAGCTCACAAGACAATCTCTAAGCTTCTTACTCTTAAAATCCTACAAGTAAAGAATTAAACTAAATTGCAATTATCATAGAATGATCAGCTCAATATAAATATGAAGACAATGAAAATCATATCCATAATCGAGAGAAATATGATGATGTTGGTTTTAACAGTATGCCACTTCCTTCCTTTCATATGAGTAATTAATTGCAAACTATGCTCAACTTTACCAAAGTTTGTTTTGATAATTTTATAGATGTTTCTCTTGTTTAGAAATGAAGTTCTTCCAAAATCCTAAAAATTCCATTTAATCATTGCAAACTAAGTGAGCATAAAGTTTCAAGCTTAATAAACGGAAGTATAATTCTATGTTAGCTTCAACTCCTTCATATCAGTTCAACTCAAGAATGCATAAGCTATTGATGAATGGTTTTTATATTTGAATCCATACTGGAAAGAAAGCTAGACATCAAGGGTTAGTTCTAGTGTTTGCTCTTCTACTGAGTTAATATTACAATAAATGGATTTTTCTTTTGCCTTTTCTTTCTGATTTCCAAAAATGGAAACTGGTTAGCTTAAAAGGGGAAGTATGTTCTCTTTCTTTTTTTTTTTTTTTTGATAAAGATGAAGTATGTTTAATTTACTTGATTTTAGTTTGCTGCAGGTTGATTTAGATTGTGTTGTTTCAATTAAAGTTGTCTTTGTAACTATAAATCTTGTTTCACTGACTTTTTGCAGATCTGGAATCACTGCCCCATATTCTGCAGAAGAAATATGCGTTGCTACGTGATCTAGATAAAAGTTTACAAGGTATCGTAAGAGCAGTTCTTATTGGCTCATCATGTCATAATCATTGTTACTGTTAAGGTTAATGTCAAAATTTTTTGTTTCTGCTCCCTTTGTCTTTGCTTTGGCTGGTTTCTTTCCCTTTCTACTCAAATTGTAATTGTAAGAGAAAGCAAATTGGTAGGTTTAGAATGTTAAAAATTGAAAAAAAAAAAACACTAGTGAATACCTTTTAACTTCAATTTGTTTGTACCCGTTTCTGTTTCCCATGGATGAGTAGATTTTCCTGATGGATGATACTGAAACTGAAATCATAGTTGCCTCCTGTTTAGAATCAAATTTATGCTTATTATAATAGCAACCTGTGAGGAGGTGTACCATTGTTGGAAGCAATCTACTAGGTATAACCAAAAGGAGAATATTCATGTCCCCTGCAATTAACTTCTTACTTCATACTTGAAATGTTATTAAGCAAGATGTTTTATTAGCATGAAATAATATGTTTAGCGTGCTAATTTCTTCAATATTTTCTATAAGATTCTAGTTTCTATTTATTTTTATTTCTTTTCTCCATTTTGTGTAAATCTGCAATAGCATGTTAATTGTGCCAAAAATTTCTTCCTCATATTTCTGTTAAAAGCATATTGATATATTGGCTTGCAGAACTAGAGATTTTAAAGCTTTTATGCCCATGCTTCCATTCCCTGTATCTGGATTCTCAGCTCCACCGCTTTGTTCTTTATATGAACAGAAATTCAGAGACAAAACGAACAGCGGTGTGAACAAGAAATAGAGGATATAAGAAAAGGTGTTAGGGCTGGAAATATTACACCAAATACCTCATTAATTAGATTTTCAGATGATGCACTTGACGAGCAAAAGCATAGCATCAGGATTGCTGATGAAAAAGTTGCATTGGCTATTCAGGCATATGATTTGGTATGTGAAGTCTCTGTTATGCCTTCGAATTTCATCAGCTTATTTAAAACTTGTTTCCAACTGCAATAACAATGGCTGAGACCTTTTTTTTTCATTTGTTTCTGTTCTCTTGTGATTCTTGTTTTGACTCGGTCTTTCTCTTCCTAAATGCACAGTATATGATTCCTAAGTGCATGGAGTGCCATGTAATTTTTATTCTTAGTATATATTATATAAAATTTTCTTTTTACAAATATTTTTAAGGTGGAAGAACATTCTTTAACTTTTACGATCTAGCAGTGGTTACATTGTTAATTTGAGTTAAAAGGCATACCTCAGAACAAATTTTGAGTCAAAAGGTTGGGACGAAAGATGCATATCCATGGAAGCAGGAATTAGTAATTATAAGAAGATTCACTTTATTTTCTTTTAATTGACACAAGTATTTCTGTATTATGCTGAACACTTCATTTTTTTCCTAGGTAATATACTAAACTCAACTTGTACTGAGTATACACATAACATGTATGCACCCATGGGAAAGGGGGTGTATATATATGTATATGTAGAACCCATCCATTTATAAAAAAAATATTACTAGTTTAGTGGCCAACAGAGCACTAAACAAGTGTAGGGTTATTAATTGTGTGTTAAGGCTCACCCTTCAACTAGTGCCTTTTGAACCATGAACTTACCAGCAAAGAACTACATACATCATGCAATTTTATGTAGGTGTACTTAGTGTTCCTTTGAAGTAGCTTTAATATATAGTGATAATTCATGCCATAAACAAATTCTCAGAATTTTATAATTTGAAATATATTAAAGAATACAGATCATGGAACCGAACTGCTCGTTAAAGTGTTGGTTGGGAGTTATTTGCTTACTATATGTTGATCAGCCACACGCAATGGACTTAGGAAATTATAAATAAATGGACCTGTTAGGTGAGCCCAACAAGATAGAGCGTAAAGATTACCAATTTCTGTACTTTGGGCTAGGGGTTTAATCGAGAATGATTGGTATATTCAAAGGTTAAAATCTTAGAAAATAGTGTTGTTCATAGTCTTCCTAATAGATTTATTAACTCAGCATCCTACATGGATGGTGCTTTGGGCAAAGTAACGGTATGCATTTGTGGTCTCCAGTTCTCAAAAACAACAATCAACTAATACTTTTAGGTGACAGGCCCTTGTTTTAGAGCCAACCTAACCTACGACCTGTTTTGGATTGAATATGTGGATTCCTTTTTATGTGTCATCTGAACCTGAAAGATTTGAGTGTATCTTTTTTTTGAGGTCTGTTGAGATGCCAGTAGCTGCAACCATTAAGGCCAAAGGATACTTTTGAGGAGACTTCTCATCAGTTCTGTAAAGGGATTGACTTGCTGTTCTCTCAAATGATTACCTAGTCTTTCTCCTCTATTTTGCTTTCTTTTGGAGGATATCTAACCCTCTTTGTTTGTATTCCTTCCGCTTAATACGATGTATTCTCTTTTTATCTTAAAAAAATATTTATGGACTAAATAGTCATGGTATTACACAATCATTGCAACTAACAAGCAATTTAGCAAAAAGCTGTAAGACAGTGGTTAACATGGTCACTGTGGTGAAGATGTGAGAATGCAATTGTTTTTCGTAATTTTGCTGAACATTGCATTTCTGGTAAATTTTTATTTTATCTATGTCTTCATATTCTGCTGCTCCTTTTAACAGTTGAAGGCCTTTGATCTTGGGTTGTATTTGTTAAAGAATATAAAGAATTAAGTTGGACAATCCAATTAATTATTTCATATGGTATCAGAATTAATAGGGCAAGAAATATTAAATCCTAGCTTCCCTTTATATTAGAAATTAGGTTTATGCATTATACTTATGGACAAGAAGGCATGTTGAAGTATATAAGTAATTAGTCGGGCTCTTTTACATCAGTTTAACCTTTTCGGTTAGTTAACTATCCGACTCAATTATTTTACAATTTTGCTATTCTTTAATGACTTGGATTTTTCTCCACGATGTATACGAACCCACTTTGTGGGGATGTGCAGCATTTGTGGAGACAGAAGGAGCCCGATAGGTTCCCCTTATTGACTTAGCCCTGGCCTACGTAAGTGCTGTAGTGTTAATCTTGTTTAATATCTGGTGTTTCAGGTGGATACACACATACAACAACTTGATCGATATTTGAAAAAATCTGATGAAGAGCTACGGCGTGGTACCATACTCAGTTATTACATCTTCTTTGTCTTTGTCTAGTGCATATTTGGTTGGAATTTTCC